AAACGCTACTCATATTAATATATATAATTCAAAGTTTACATATTGTGGGGAATCCATGGGTAACTATAATGGATACAAGTCTATTGTCTATTAGGTTATAACCCATGGAAATTAGGGATTTGTGACAAATCTATTTATATAGTAAGCTAAAGAATTATTTAATTATAAAAAAAAATACCGTTTTTTACATATTCTACTATAATATTAGAATATTTTACATATCTGACAAATCTAGTAGAATATTCTAACAATCTAAAAATCACATTATAATATTTACAGTGTAATATTTTATTAGAATATTTTAGGTATTTAAAAAAAACGGTAATTTTTATTTTTATTTTTTTTAGGTAAAAAAAAGTGACGAAAATAATAATTAAAAAAGAATTTTCGGATTTTTTCTTTTATTTTGCATTTTAAAATTAATTTTAGATTGCATCTCATCACGGTCTCACAAAATTAGTATGGTCTCAAATAAACCTGAATATATATATATATATATATATATATATATATATATATATATATATATATATATATATATATATATATATAAAAGTGCGATAATGTATCACTGATTTTTTGGGATACATAATTAGATCATATGACCTTATTAGATAAGAAATGTTTCGAAATTCATATTTATCTTTACAATTTATGATTTCAAATCTGGAAGCAAAAATATAGGATTTCATTTATGATTTCAAATCTGGGAGGAAGAATATAGGATTGCATTTACTTTAGGCTGGAAAAAAATGAAAAAACTTATAAAAAACCTATAAGGGTGCTAAATGTCAAAATTTGAGTACAGAAAGGAGACATGCGACAATGTTTATGATTTGTTGATTAGAACTAGGTGTAAGACACATGTATTACATGAGTTTATTTTTAAAAAAAATTAAATATAAAAACTTTAACAATTTGAGAAGTTTGAATTTATAAGAAAAATGAGAAAAATTTTGAATTATTAAAATTAGTGAGGCTTTAATACATTGAATACATTACATATATAAACCTCTTCTAATATATACATAACATATATATTACCTTACATATTAAATGTGGAATTTTAATTTAATAAAATGAAAAATATAATAAAACGACAAGTGGAAAATAGAAAATTAAAATTTTTTATAAAATGCCATGTGTCCAAATGAAGGAGAAGATGACATGTGACAAAAAGATTTTGATTTATTAGGGAGGATAGGTAAATATAGATAGGTATATTTTGTAATATTGGAGGATTCGAACTAAGACTGTGGTGTGTCCTATATATATATATATATATATATATATATATATATATATATATATATAGATCCGGTAAGAAATTTTTTTTGGTAGGAAGGTAAGAAGTTTTTTTCTACATATTTTTTTGACGAACAAAATAAATGAATCACTAGATGATTCATTTGTAAGATGATTCACAAGAAAAAATTCCCAAAAAAACATCTTTATGATTCATTTTTAAGTAAATTAAGAAAAAAAATTCATTTTTATGACAATTTTAGTGAATAACAACAAAATCATTGTATAAATGAATCATCGAGATGTTTTTTTGAGAATTTTTTCTTGTGAATCATCTTACAAATGAATCATCTAATGATTCATTTTGTTTGTTCGCGAAAAAATATGTAGAAAAAAAATTTCTTACCTTCCTACCAAAATTTCCTTCTTATTTGATCTTGACTCTATAGCTAGATTCATATGTGGATGAACATCTATTGTGTGGATGGTAGAGACCAATTAGAATTTAAGAAAAAATAAATTATTAATTAATCAGTAAAGGGTAAAATAGTAATGTTAACTAATAATTATTTATAGTAAATAAGAAAATCATTTTAATATCCTTAAATTGTGCATATCAGTTTATAAAAACACCACATCGACATTATCTTTTCTCCCAATGAACCCTAAGAATCAACACAATATCTTCCCCTCACCAGGTTCTTCACCATTCCTTTCCCTCTCATCAACTTCTACAACTCCATCGACAACCACCTATTTTCGATTCCATCGGGTGTGATTAGTGGTGGAAACTAGTTTCAATCGTAAGAAGTTCTGGAATGATTTCAGTGAAATGTCTTCTTCTCTCTTTTCCCTTCATCTCTCGTCTCCTTCTCTCTTCAACTGCAACATCAGGTAAGCGCAATCCTCTTGCCTATTTCCCTTTTCGATTTCAATCAATGTTGGTGTTTTAGGTTCTAGTAAATCACCATTTTTGATTTACTTCTTATCGATTTCGTGGCTTCTTCATCTGTGGATAACGCCATTAATAAACTAGCCAATATTCAAATCAATGAAGTCTCCTTATTTTCTTCTCCAAATCTCTAGGAAAAACCTTTCAATTTTCTACATGGTCCAACATATTTAGAATTCTGTTTTGTTTCTATATAAATCATTTTATGATTTTGGATCCTTTGTTGTATGAATAAGTAGATCTTGAAATGATGTTGTTGGAGATGGGACAGAGGAACTTGTGCGTGGATTGGTCGGATACTAGTATTCTCGGACACTGGTGTTAATTCGAGATAAAAATGAAAAAAAAAAGAAAATTGATATGCTTTAGAGATCAAAATGGGTTGTCGATGAACAACTGTCTAGATTAAATAAGAGAAAGAAGATTTATTATATGGATACGATTAGTCATGGATTGGGTGAAAGGGAGAAATATGTTCCGGCACGGATGCATCTTCAATCTTACTCTTGTTCAATCTTTCACACTTTCTGGTTATTCTTAGCTCCATTTGATGCCATTCCAGGATCTTTCAATTTATTTTAAAGTTCATCTTTCTTATTATTCATGGATAACTTGATTTCATCAGTAAAAAGCATCAGTAAAAGAAGCTATGTAACCAGTCATACATATGCAAATATATCTGATTGGTTTTGGTTTTATTTGCAGGTTGGAAAATTCATTCAGCTACTGAAAAACAACAACATTCTTTCAGAATTTCATGGTCTAGCTTACAAAAATAACAACATTCTTTCAGAATTTAATGGTTCATCTTACAAAAACAACAATATTCTTTTAGAATTGTAGGAGAGAATCTACATAATGTATTCTCAACTATATTATCAATTTCATACTTTATTCTCACAGAATCTACTTTGTCATTTATGCATTTTTTAATATAAAAACACACATTCTTAATGGAATTGCATTCTTATTTGTATTACATTCTACGTGATTTGTGATTTTTAAGAGGATTTGTCGTTGCAATAAAATGTGAACTCCATTGAAAAAACTTGTTATATTCTTGATAATATATACAATATTATTATTTAAGAATGTCAATCCTTAAAAAAAAATAATAATAACTTCGTATTCTTTTGAGAAAAAAATGTTTTTAACCTTAAATTCTGCAAGAATATTTTATTTTTTGTTTAGTTACACCGATTCAGAATGATTAAAAATTTTGTTAGAATTTAAATTGAATTAATTTTAAAAAAAATAAGATTTTTTAAATTAAGAGAATTAATTATCCTTTCAAATCCTATAACTTCCTTTTTTTAAATATAGTTTAATTGACTAAAATACCATTATGTTGAAATTTTGAGTGATTATATGATACATGATATCTCATTGTAATATCATAGACCTTCAGATTATGATTGTCCATTCTATTCATCTATTGGTCTAGAACTGTCCTTACAACCACACAATAGATGTCATCCACATTATAACCTAGCCCTATATATATATATATATATATATATATATATATATATATACACACACACACACCGATGCCACCTATATTCCACAAATGATTTAATATTTTGCCTATGAAGATTTTGGGTATTAGGGGTGATATTTAGGATTTCTACGGGTAAAAGGGAGAAGGAGAGATAATGAGTTTCAATGACAAAAGGTGAGATAAATAGCGGTGAAATTCACACTCACTGTACTACCGCCGACAATAATACCATTCGCCGGTAATAGATTCTACATAAGCATATCGGCGGTCAAAAGTACAAGATATCTTAGACCATCTGGTATAGTCATCACGAGAGTGTTAGTGGTCTATGTGGCCACTAACCACAAATGTGAACACCATCCCAAGGAACTAGTGGTAGATAGTGGTGAACTATTTCGTGGTCATTTGTGGTGGAGATCACGAAACTCCACAACCAATCAATTTGCTTCTCTCTATCTCTCTCTACCTTTCTCCACCTCTCTCTACAATTTAATATATATATATATATATATATATATATATATAATTTTAATAATAAAAAAATAAGAGAGATATAGTGGTTAGTATCCCAAACTTTTAGTGGTAGTTAATGGTGATGATGTGACACCCACCACTATAATCGTTAGGCCATCTCCAATGGATTAAACCCATGAAGAGTTGTATGGATTGTCATGTAGGAAAAGAGAATATACACATTTAATTTAATTATTAAAAAATTCATAAATTTTCATTACAATTCTATTGTACCGTTCAATGGCCATTGAACTCCACACACTCTCTCCTCTATATTATATTCACATTTAATCTATTAAAACTCTCATACAACTCCCATTGTGATGGATGACCTTAGTGGTGATATAACGGATAACCTTATAGCCTAAGAAATTACCACGGAATTCAAAATTAATTGTCACCTAAGGAACTTCAATCAAAGTTAATTAAGTTTTTTCTGGTAGTATTTTTTCGATTAAATTTATTTATTTCCCCATGACAAAAGAATGGGAAAAAAATATGATCCACTACCATAATTAAAGCACAATAAAGGTGTCTGGAGCTGACTAGGTACTCCACTTCCACGAAACAAGCCAAATAGTTTTTAGGTGGGGTAGGCATAAATTGGAAGAACGCATCAACGGCTCGTGCCTCCTCCTGCTTAGCACACGCACATACTTAATTCTTCTGGAAACATGTGTTTTACACAAGCCAGAAGCTGTGAATAGCATGAATAAAATATACTTGGTGATGGAGAATAATAGTTTAAAATTGTATCGTGCGCATATATATACATCACAACAACTAGACATCTTTATTTCTCATTGACAAACTGTCGGCAACAAGTTATTCCCTAAAATAACAAACAAAGCAAGAAAATATGCTTGCATTATCATCTCCTTTATTTTCAACACCCTATGGATGGCCCTTGGCTGATAACTTTTCCAAGGTTTGCGGTGATCCAGATTCAACTCAATCACTTCTTGAACTTCCTTCATCTGATCAAATCCAGCTAGATTTTACACCTGAAAATTCCAGTTCTTTTGGAGGAGCTGTAAATGGCGGAATGGGCGATGGTATGAGGGTGGTCAAAAAGCTCAATCATAATGCAAGTGAAAGAGATCGTCGTAAGAAGGTTAACAGCTTGTATGAATCTCTTCGTTCAGTGCTACCCATTTCAAACTATCGAAAGGTAGTTAAAAATCTTCTATCTCTTGATGTGAACTTTGTGAAATATCCAATTCTTCTTATAACTAGATTGTATTTTACTGGAACAAGACTAATTAAATGTATCCCCTTCTTTTGACAGAAAAAAGTAAGTATTCCTGGAATTGTATCACGCGCGGTGAAATACATACCCGAACTACAAAAGGAAGTGGAGACATTAATACATAAAAAAGAAAAGCTTTGGTCGTATTCATCATCAACTGAAAATATCTGCATCAAGAAACAAAGTGCTAAAGATGCTATCATCGATGAAAACTCATCTATTGTTTCTTCTGTGAACGTTTTAAGTGAGAAAGAAGCTATCATCCAGCTGATTTCGTCGACTAAAAGTAGTGGCAAGAACAAGGATATTGTCTTCTTGTCTAAGGTTTTGGAGAGATTAGAGGAGGAAGAAGATGGGTTTATTTTGCTAAATGCAACGACCTTCAGATGTGTTGGAGAAGGGATATTGTTAAACACTCTCCATTTTCAGGTACATATACCATCTTTTGTGTTACATATTTTTAATTAACTACCATGTTGTTGTACTTCATCCTCAACATACGCATATGCTTTTTACAAAGCAAAGTGTCTACATTATATTCTTCATAGACACATCGATCTTTTAAGTTCACAAAATATAAGTCTAATATGCCAAAAAATGGTACATAAGTTATAATTAATTAATTAAGGTGCTCGATGCTGCAATGATTAAATGATATTGAATCTACCAAAATAATTTATTTTCCTCTGTTCTCTTACTACAATATAGGAGTGGATATAAGTGGTTTATCATTTGAAAGAATATTGTATTCTATAGAGATTAAAGATAATAATATATTAAAGTGGTTTGGGAATCTTTACTAGCCACAATTGGTATATTTTAAAAATCAATGGATCAAAACTTGTGGAAATATAAAATATGAGGAAATTATTGTAAGCATAGTTCAATTTAAATTGAAAGAATCTCAAAGGCTCGTATAAAAATAATTGGTTTTCTACATTACTTACATATTTCTGGACCTACTATGTTGATAAAGCATACATGTTTCATATATCATATATATTAACAATTCTAGACAATTGTCAATTATTGAATAATTTTATGATTAACTATTTCCTCCAAATAAGTATAATACTTTATTGTCTTGAACAGGTGCAAGGAAATAACAAGATAGATGCCCAAAAGATAAAGGAGAAGCTCCGTTCTTTCCACCAAGAATAAGATGAACCTTACTCACAGTGGTTATAGGGATGATGTGTAGTTTTTAACATATTTAGTTAGCTGTCAGCAGTTTTAACGGCCAATTGTATATATTAGTGTCAATAGGGAACATTAGTAAGAAATTATGTAACACTTCTCGTATGGGTTACAAGTTATAAAGATTTTTTGTTTGAAAGTGCTTAGTAATTTAAAAGAAATAGTGCAGAATCTAGGTTCCAAATTATAGTTTAAAGTTTAAACAATCCAAGTTTGAAATTTTATAATATGAGGGTGTACAATATTTATATATCCATCTCTTATAAACGAGACCATTCAAATGAAAGTGGTTCAAGATATGTCACTTATCTTAAATTATAATCATTTGAAACTCTCTAACTTTTCACCTTAGGCTACTTAAAAAACATTTGCTTCTCTTTTCTTTTCATTTTGTTTTATCTTATTTTTTCATTTTTGTTATCTAGAGTGCATAAGAATGAAAAAGTTTCAAACAAGTTTGCTTTCTTCTTTCCATATCTTTTTTCCTTATATTTTCTTAAAATTCCATAAGCATTTGTAGTGTACATGAGCAAATCCAAAAGATTTTGTTATTTAGATATGATGAATAATTGTCTCAATGTCATATCTTTAGAGCCAAAAGAAAATTGTTGTTAATTTTGATGTGTTATATGTTGAAAATGAGTTTCTGAAAGAAAAAAGAAGATAGAAACAACGAATTTTTTTAGGTAAATGTTGTATATTTATAGCTAATGGAAAAGTGTTGTGAATTTTGATATTTTTGAATTTTGTTTAAACAAGAATTCTGTTTTGATGAATTCTCTTCATATTGATGAAATAAGTATATGAAGAAACTATGAGTTTTAATGTGTTTGAAGTGTGTTTTTGAAAGAAAAAAAAAAGAGATCATGAATTGCCTTTTGATTGATTCTATTCATAGTGATGAAAATATAAATATCTCAATTCATTTGCTTCATGACTCATTTTTTTGTGTGGATATTAAATAAAAAGTTACAAGGATTTTATGGATGTTATTGTTGTTTTTTTTGTCACTGTCATGACTTTTATTTTAATGACATAATTCTTTTAATTCTTATATTTTTTAGAGTTGTACTTTGAAAAATTTCAATATCATAACGTTCAATTTCTAAAATTTTATTACAAAAAGGTACTGTAAGAATTTATATTTTGATGATTATGCTCTTGTAATTTAATACATATAAATATGATTAATTATATTAATTGCATATTGTGATTGAAAGTTATCGACCTAATTGTAAATATATGATAACTATTATTTCTAAAATTCTAGGGCCTTAAGTTTGTATATATTTCATATTCCAAACATATTTCCATTATTTAATACATAAAATATGAATAATTTTATTATATAGTTATAAATATATTGTCTTACATATATAACTTTGTAATATATATTTGATTAATATGTTTGTAGAACAAAAAATATCATACTCTTGTATAAATAAATACGTATAAAATTAACAGATGCGCATAATTTCATTTCTTAAAATTGGTTTGAAAACTTTTGGTATAATATTTTGTTTAGACATTAGATGATTATATTATTTATTTAATTTAGTAAGCACAACTTAAATATTTTAATCATATTTAAAAAAATATCATAAGTATCAATTAAGTAACATAAATGAAAAAAAAACTATTTAGTTGTAGTGATTTAATTCTAAATAAACTTTAATTGGAAGCTAAAAGTTTAGAATATTAAAATAAAACTTGAATGCAATTAATAAAATTTTATCATATCAATATAGTTAAAGATATATGTTTTAATTATCGAGTAAAAAGATATGAGAATCTATGGAAGTTACTTTTTTTTTCAATGTTGTGACTATTATATTAATGACATTATTTTTTTAATTTTTATCATTTTAAGAGTTGTACTTTGAAATTTTTTACACATCATGACGTTCAACTTCCAAATTTTTTTATTATAAAATGATTTTTGGATGAATTTGTATTTCGATGATTGTGCTATTGTAATTTAAACCACGTAAATATGATTAAATTTATTGATTGTATTACATGTTTGATATATTCTATAAAATATCCGGTTTTAGTTTCTGATTTTAAAATTATTTGATATGCCATTTTATTTGATTTAGAAGTGTTTTTTAATATATTTTTTATGTAATGTTGAACTTTATTTTGTGTATATACTATATCAGATTAATTAGTCAATAAATGATAAAATATAAATGAAAAATATGAACAAGAGAAACAAAATGATATTGTTATAAGAGTGATTATATATATATATATATATATATATATATATATATATATATATATATATATATATATATATATATGGAAATTGACTCAATATCACAACTAACTTTCAAATTACCTGTTAATTATGTCATTTTGAGTGAGGAAACTGGATGAACCGGTTACTTTGCGTATGAGTTAATTAGAAAAACGAATAAAAATAAAATCGCAGGCCACGATGGCAATTCCATGTATTTATCAGCTTAAATGAGACGAGTGTAATTGAGAGGGACTTAAGTTTAGATGTTAGTCGTCGTTTTCATTAGCAATACTCCAAAACCTTCAACTAGAGCTAGGGTTTACAAGTCGTCCAAAAACGAAGTGACGTAGGAGGAAGAAGAAGCTATGTCAATCTCGAACCCCAATGTGATATTTCCGATAGTGGAACTGAACTTAAAAGGGGTGTTTATTCGCCGTCCTTTATCTTACAATAACGATATGAAATGCACCTTCACAGATCATGATTTTTCTGGTATGACACACTCCGAATGTATTACTTTTCTCGAACGTTTCATGCAATTATATTGTAAGAAGTTATACTACTGTGAGCCAGGTGCTCCCCTTTTGAGTAGCCTTATGCCTATCTCGGATGAAATGGAATATGCAGGTTTCATCTTTGATGCATATGGAACTGATGGTCAAATATCCCTTTATGTGGACCATATTGGTGATAGAATAGATGATATGTTTGAGTCAGAAGGAGGAGATGATGACCCTGACTCTTACATTAGTGGTGGGGATGATGACATAGGTACCTGTGACAACCGTTAATATTCGAGACAATTCTATATCTAAATAAACTTAGTTGCACGTATAGGCACAACAAATACTAGACTTAGTAACTAGAATCTAAGTTTTAACCTACTAGAAACTTGGAAACAAGTAGAATTGAGGTATAGTGTACTTAGATTTCACATTGATATGTGAATTCTACATTTAGTTTAACTGTAACAACTATCTAAATTCAGGTCATTCCTTGACTCGAGCACTTTTGTACATTCATATAGACGCATCATACATTTGACCTAGTAGTAGAAATTAGGTTAGAAGCTTGTAGGAACTTAAGTCAAAGATGAAACTAGGACTAGTATACTTGGTTCTTCGGGTCATCGTGGATCGTTTGACCAAGAGCGCGCATTTCATTCCATTCCAGGAGAGCATATCTGCAGAGAAGTTAGCCAAGATTTATATCAAGGAGGTTGTGGCACGTCACGGGTTGCCGGTATCAGTAGTTTCGGACATGGATGTTCGCTTTACTTCGAGATTTTGGAAGCGGTTTCATGACGAGTTGGGTACTCGTCTCCATTTTAGTACAACATTTCATCCGCAGACCGATGGTCAGAGTGAGAGGACTATCCAGACTCTTGAGGATATGTTGCGTGCTTGTGTGTTGGACTTCGGTGGGAGTTGGGATATGTATCTTCCGTTAGCGGAATTTTCGTATAACAACAATTATCATGCTAGAATTGATCGACCTCCGTTTGAGATGCTCTATGAGGAAATGAAGGACCCCGATTTGTTGGGGTGAGGTCGGTCAGCGAGTCATGGGGAGTACTGAGGTGATACTCAAGACCACTGAGCTAATTCAGCAGGTTCGGAGCAAACTTCAGACAGCTCAGAGTCAACAGAGAAGTTATGCTGATAGACGTCAGTCAGACTTGGAGTTCCAGGTGGGAGATATGGTTCTCCTAAAGGTGTCAACTTGGAAAGGTGTCATCTGGTTCAGGAAGCGGGGAAAGCTGAGCCCCAGATATATTTGTCCATTTAGGGTTTTGGCTCGGGTTGCTTATCACTTGGATCTTCCGGATGAGCTTAGTCAAATTCATAGTACGTTCCACGTCTCCCTGCTGCGGAAGTGTTTAGTGGATGATTCTGCAGTGGTGCCGTCGGAGGATATTCAGGTGGATGACCGCCTGAATTATATTGAGAGACCGATGCCGATTTTAGATTGAAAGACGAAGACCTTGAGGAACAAGGTAGTCGAGCTGGTAAAGTTGCAGTGGTAGAGTGGACTTGGGAGCCTGAGGAGGAGATGAGGGAGCACTATCCAGAGTTGTTCGGGGCAGCGGAGTTCGACGACGAATTTTGATCCAAGTGGGGGAGAAATGTAACACCCGATGGTTCTAATGTATTATTTATTTAATTGTCTAAATCATGTAAGTTGTTTTGGGGCTTAGCGGATTGGGCCTTTAAGAGTGGTCTTAGTCGAGGCCGTACACTTGGCGTAAGCCTGGTGTACGCAGGGCTTAAATGGAACACAAGGAATGCGGAGGCATGCACGTACGCGCAGTGTACAGGGTGGTACGCGCAACGTACGTGGTCAGACTTAAAACCCTAAGTTCTAGGGTTCAAGCCCTATATAATGTCATTAAGTCCCAAGTGTTAGCCTCCTTATCAGCCTTTATTGTCTAGAAACCCTAATATTGAACCCTATAGCATCTTGGTGTGTTCTTGACCTTGTGGAGTGTATTTTTGGTAGTTTGGAGCCTTGGAAGGAAGAAGAAGAAGTTGGTAAAGAAGAGTTGTTGGAGCTTGAGCTTGAAGATTTAGGTTATTATCATCATTTGGCACTCATTTGAGATATAAAGCTTAGAACTTGTTGTGTTAAAGCTTAGATCTTCTTGTTGAGATTTTAGACCCTTTTTGGTCCCATAGATGAGATCTTGTGGATTATAATCATTTTTTAGCTTAGAGTTGCTACTCTTGGTGTTCTTTTGGTCCTAGAGTCATAAAGTTGCCATCTTTGAAGCTTAGAACCATCCATGCATGAGTTTGAGTTCATTTAAGGGAAGTAGAGTGTTGTATTTTGGGTTTGGGTTCATTTGGGGCATGC